TAATTTATTTAATTGAATTAAACGATTAGGATTTCTAATTTCACCATTAATATCATGAATTAAATTTAATAAACCTGATTTATGATGTAATCTATATCTTAAAGCATTACTATTAGATCTTAATTTAATAGAACCTCCATAAACATTTTTAATAATATGTAAGGCTCTTTCATCTCTAATATCCATAGTAATTTCTAAAGCGGCATAACCTTTTTTAGATAATGTAAAACAACCATCACCATCAATTAAACCTGCTAATCATTGTTTAAATTTTATATCTCTAATACTATTAGAAAGTGTATAAATAGATCTTTTATTTAACAAACGTATGGCCTCTGAAGTTCCTACTCACGAGCTAAGCGTTTTGGTTACTTGCGAATTATCATAAACTTTAAGGATTTTTACTTTAACGGTATATAAAATATAACTTATGTATAAAGTACCTAAAAAGTATAAAATGATTTTCTCGCTTATAGTTTGTTGCAATAAATATATATTATAATCGTTACCAAAGTTAATGATTGAATAAAAAGTATAATATATATTTAAGGGCCATTGTTGACCAAAGAATCAGAATAAATGTTCATATAATACAGGATCTCCTCCTGCACCTACTTCATAGAATCCTGTATTAAAGTTTCTATCCATTAATAATAAAGTTACAGCACCTGTTAATACTGGTAATGATAATAATAATAATATAGCTGTAAAGTAAACTGCTCAAACATATAATGGAGAATTTATCATACGTACATTAATAGTACGCATGTTTAAGAATGTTACTATAAAGTTAATTGCTCCTAATAAACTTGATATTGATGTTAAATGTATAGCAAATATACCAAAATCTACTGATGGTCCAGAATGTGCATTTATAGATGATAATGGTGCATATAAAGTTCAACCTGTACCTGCTCCATTTTCTATTAATACTGATGCTATTATACATACTAATGCTGGTGGTAAACATCAAAAACTTATATTATTTAATCTTGCAAATGCCATATCCATAGCACCTATCATTATTGGTAAGTAAAAATTACCAAATGCTCCAATAATAACAGGCATTACGAATAAGAATATCATTGCTATAGCATGTCCTGTTACCATTACGTTAAATACTTGATTATTTCCATGTAAAAATTGACTATTACCTGAACTTAATTCCATACGTATTATAACTGACATTCCTGTAGCTACCATAGCTGATATTATTCCAAATCCTAAATATAATATGGCAATATCTTTGTGTGATGTACTAAATAATCATCTATCCACAAAACTCATTGGTTTTACCATATATTATTATATATGTTTATATTATCTTTATGTATTTATATATATATTATAAATAATATATATATATTTATTTATATTATTCTTATCCTTATATATATATATTAATCCGCAG